CTGCTATTATAGGTTTGGCTACTCTACGACCTATAGCTCCTTAAGTATAGGACCAACTGCATTTAAAATGTGTGATTTATGAGTTATATCCTGCATACTTTGAAATATCAGACATAGAAAATAAATTTATGTAAATGTTATAAAATATATGAAAGAGTAGAGGAGATAAGGAGAGCAATATACACCACACATTCCCAAACCTTACAATAATACACTTGTTATAATTAAATATTAAATTTGGTGCTAAGCTTCCTTTAAGCCATGAAAAAAGGTAAACACACTGGGTTACATAATTCTCATTGTTCGAGAAAAGGAAGCTGAATCTCTAACAAAGTTTTGTCAGAAAGGATTCTTTCCAACTCAATTGCTCTGGAACCTGTGGACCAGTGATGGGGATGCCAAAGCACAAAAAGAACGGTGTGTTCGACAGTGGGTTTGCGAGAGACACAGAGGTGGGCTTCAAGCTCCAATTGATAGGGATACTTGTTACCAGTTATTAAACTGGTGAGACGAGAATAGAATGTTTAGGTTGACCAGTTCTACCTTGGTCGTGCTGGGAAGTTATTTGTAAATGCTGTCCCCACACCAGCCCTCTTGCTTATCTGATATTATGTCTTTGGGCAAAGAGACAACATGTACCAACACCAACTCTTGTTATGATCTTACTGATCTGAAGGATCCTTCCTTTTACAGGGACCAGAATCATTTGCATACTGAGGTTGTTCCTCATTCCTAAGAGTAAAACCAAAGTTTTGAATCCAGAGGGAGCATCGTTGGTTTCGTATCTGATATTCCAGGAGGGAACTCATGGAGGACAGGACAGAAAGTTGCATTCAAATCAAGAGATAAACTTTGGAGTCATTCATTCATTCCAAAACATCAAGCTCCTGCTAACATGGCCATCTGCAGGCTCTGGGAACACCATGGTGAGTGGAATTTGTAGCTGGTCCCTGCCTTCATGGGGCTTAGACTCCAAGAGCCCTGACCTAGTCTACTAAGGTGTGAAGCGGTCAGGGAAGTTTGCCAGAAGGAATTGGCATTTGGGCAGAGTTCCAAAAGATGAGCAGGTGGAGGGAAGAGGATGTGCAAAGTCCCTGCGGCAGGAAGAAAGCAGTGGCTTTGAGGAGGTGGAAGAGGGGCAGCAAGACTGGAGGACTGAGCATGAGGGGCGGACAGTCCAGGGTGCGGCTGGACAGATGACAGGGCCTCATGGGCCCAGGAGCAGTGGGAGCCACTGAGGGGGCTTTTCAGGCGAGCTGGTGATGGGAGCTGTGGGGGTGGGTTAGAGTCTCTCTGGTGTAAAATGGACTGAAAGACCAGGACTGAATTCCGAGGACTGATTTCTGAGGGGAGAGCTGCAGGAACCCAAGTGAAAAATGATGCTGGCTTGTACTCAGGTGCTAAAGGTAGAGAAGGAAAGATGTGGGTAGACCATGATTTATACGTGAGAGGAAGTTATCGACTTGGGGATTGTTAGTGCAGAAGAGGGAGGACTCCAAATGCTTTGCCAGTGACTGTCTTGCTGAATGAGATGGCAGTGGTGCTATTCATGGAGCACAGGGGAGATGTTTTGGGAGGAAAAGCCTGAGGGCAGTGCCCTGAGACAGCTGAGTGGGCTGGTGGCTGGGGCTTTGGGTTAAATGCCCGGCTGCAACCAGTGCTGTGTTAGCTAAAAACTGAGTCACATGGTACATCTCTTCTTGAGGGACTGAATGTTGGAATTTACAAAATGTTGAAATTCTATAATAAAAATAAATGGTTAGTTTGGTAGAATTTTATATATACCTTTCCAAGCAATAGGGGAAAGCCATGAATTTGGTTCCTGAACCTAAGCCCTCAAAGCACCCTGCATGGAGGAGCACGACACGTGTGTAAACTTCTGGTGTGAACACGTTTGCAAATGACTGGCCCAGGTTTTGCAAGGTGCCCGGACCACAGGGAGGTCAGGAAGGGACAGACACCAATGGTGTTGATCACAGATGCTAACCCCTAACCAGACCCTGCCATCTGCATGGTGCTGAGGCCGGTCCCACTGAGAGAAGAACAGGAAAATCATCAAACGGCAAATGGTGACGCAGAAAATGAAAGCAACCAAATCTATAAGGAAGATTAAAGAAATGGCAGAAACATCTGAGTACTCAGAAATTTGATTTTAAAAGTAATCACTGATGGGAGGGATAAATTAAGTATTTGGGATTAACAGATACACATTATTATGTAGAGAATAGATAAGTGACAAGCACCTACTGTATAGCACAGGGAACTATATTCGACACCTTGTAATAACCTATGAGGAAAAAGAATCTGAAAAAGAATTTATATATATATATATACTCCAAAGCTGTCCTAACCACTGTGCTAGGTTGCCTTTTGTAAAGGAGAATCCATCTGTTAAATGATATTTGTACGTGTGTAATGTTTGTGGATTCCAAAGGTCTTAGAAAGCATCCTTCACACATTTGGAGGATCCATGTTATCCTTGGGGACCTGACTAGAAGTGGTTCGGGTCCCCTCATCCCGTGTATTCATTAGATTTTGCACAAAAACTTTTATCCCCTTTTAAACCTCAAGTTGTGATTGTCCCTGTGTACCTGCAAATCTCTCTGATGATGGTTTGATATGTGAGACATATAAGAAATGAAGGCATGTAAGCAAACTGAACACTTGTTCTCCAAAACTCTGAGAAAATGCATACACATTTACATAGGAAGCCATTGTTTTATGTGGCCCAGTTGATACCTTAAAAGAGTAGTTAACCGCGATGCATAGCTCTTTAAAAATGACGGCCATTCATGATCTCATTGAGATGAGTTTCTAAAAATCTGGCCTAGGGCAAAGACTAGTGGGAAAAGTTTAAGTGGAAGTGTGGAAAAAAAAAAAAAAAAAAAAAAAAAAAGCGACTACAGAAAAAGTAGATAAATTAGGAATTTGGGATTAACATATACACATTACTGTATATAAAACAGATAACCTACAAGAACCTACTTTACAGAACAGGGAACTCTACTCAATATTCTGTGATAACCTATATGGGAAAAGAATCTAAAAAAGAGTAGATATATGTATATGTATAACTGAATCACTTTGCTGTACACCTGAAACTAACACAACACTGTAAATCAACTATACCTCAATAAAAGAAAAGAAAAAAAAAGTCATCACTCGTGCCAACAGTTAGGTAGAAATAACTAATTTTTCCCATTCTCCCACCATCTCTTGCTCCCCAGAGGTCCTGGTTAAGGGTGAAGGAAAGCTCCCTTTTCTGGACCTCCTCTTTCTGTCTGTGGTGTTCACCTATGATTCAGCCAAGAAAGAGTCAACAAAGGGAACCGGAGGGGCAGGAATGTGCTCCCGTCACCCCCTGGGGAGCTCAGCCAAGGCAAACAGGAAGTAGCCTGTTTTTACCGCCCCGCGCACTTTCATTCCTCTTACGTGTGCTCGGAGCCCCAAGGGGAAAATGCAATTTGGTAGTGACCTGATAACCACATCCCTGGAGCCTTGGTCCAAAAAGGGTAAAAATCCAAACACTGCTCTGGGAAGGGAGAAGGGGAGGAGGCAGGGTGAAAGAGAATACCATTTCCACCCATGGTAAATTACGCCTGTGATTCCATTCAAGTTAATGTCTACCTAGAAAGTGGAAGTTAGGTTATCAAGATAGGGGCACCTTATCTTTCTCGTAATGAAATCATGATTATATCTTGAAAGGTTAGTAATTACCAGTAAAATAGCAAAGAAGTGTTCCAAAGTTTTATTGAAAATATACCTTATTAAGGCCGAAGGTTGGTGCAGATAACCTTTGAGTTTGGCTGGTAGGATTGCAAGTTGACTAGATCTAGGAGGGCGGGAGGGGTAGAGCTCTGCAGCTGCCAGGGGCATCATCCCTCCTGTGGGCTGAGGTGGAGGCACTGGCCTGAACACCCACCGCGAAGATTTCACAGTGTATCATGAATTCTGCTATAATTGCTGGGGCCCCTGATTGGGAAGTATGTGCTGAAATATTCTCTTGAAGTCCTACCATGTTTTTATGTTTCTTGATATACACACGTATATCAGACGATATACACGGTATCAGAAAACTGTAATGCTGAAGACTCCAGGATAGAATGATGCTCTGGAATCCCCTTAGGCATGTCTCCCTCGCCACGCTCATCCTTCTACATGCATTGTTGACTAAACTCTTTGGAACAACGTTTTATCAATTCTCATGCTCTTTAACAAGCTTCAGTTGCTTTTATGAAGTGATCAACGTTCTCAAAAATTATGATTCAAAAAATGTCTCTAGTGCGGGTTGATCGTTCCCGTCTACCTTTGCTGGTTGCTCTGCAGTTCGCAGCTGCAGGAAAAGGAATACTATAAAGTATGGAACACATGACCCTTTCTGTTCCTCCCTGACCTGCCCTCCTCTGCTCATTTACTCACTGCCCCATACAGGCAAGCCGTCCATTCCCCACGTAGTAAGCACTGACATCCTGATGATGCTGATCTGGCTGGGTACCCAAGACAGACGCCTCTGCCCCTCCTGTACGTCTGCTCCGTGAGGTTGGAAAGGTGTTGGGAAGGTGCAAGGAGAGCACAAGTCAGGATCAGGAGGTCAAGCTGGGGCCGACCACACTTGGCCAAGGCAACAACATATGTCAAGGGCGTGGAGAAACGTCCCCAGCAGTTACACAGCCCTGCACCTGACAGTTCTCTCCATGTATTGTATTGTAAAAGCGCCCATCAGGGTTTTGTTTGTTTTGGTTTGGTTTTGGCCTGGAATATTTGTGATAAATGTCATCATTCACTTCTATATACAATATATAACCATCGTTTGGAACTTTCACACTACTTTGGGGGGTGGGGAACACGTTCAAAAGCCAAAGTTGAGTCAACAGGAGAACTGGGAATGAATGTGTAAATGGACTTGGCATTCCCCTTAGACTGGACGGAGGAGCCGCATCCTTTGGCCCTGCGCCCCGCGCCGGCGCCCGTGCCCCGCGGTGGCCACGCCCCAGGCGCACCTCTCACAGGTGACGCGAATGCGCTCCTCGCTGGACGACTGCTGCTCGTCCTCCTTCTCCTGGAAATGCTCCCGGACACACTGCTCTTCGAACTCGTGCAGCCTCTTCAGCTCCTCGTCGCTGAGAAACAGCTCTGTGCAAAGGCAGAAGCGGTTGCCACGTGAGAAACCAGCCAGGCAGATGCACCCTTTCGAATTTCACAGCCCGCCTTTAACCAAGCTCCCGTCCCCATCCCCTGCAGGCAGCTCCCTGCTCCCGCCATATCACACAAAGACTCCTTGTAATATGCAGCAATCATACTGATATTTCTGCTGGAGCTAAATGGCTCACTTTTTAACACAAAAATCCAAATTACAGCTATTCGGAAAGCGAAACCAAGTATGATTTTCCGGAAAACGTTTTGCATGTATTTTATGGATAGAGTCAAGTGGACAGGAGTATTTTCCCATTCTCTTTAGATGCAACACACTAAAACATTTTGAGGACGTCGCTGGTGGTGCAGTGGTTAATAATCCGGCTGCCAACGCAGGGGACACGGGTTCGAGCCCTAGTCCGGGAAGATCCCACATGCCGTGGAGCAACTAACCCCTGCGCCACAACTACTGAGCCTGTGCTCTAGAGCCCGTGCTCCGCAACAAGAGAAGCCACCGCAATGAGAAGCCCACGCGCCGCAAAGAAAAGTACCACCAACCACCGCAACTAGAGGAAGCCCTCGCGCAGCAACAAGAACCCAACGCAGCCAAAAATAAATAAATACATAAATTTATATGTATAAAACCATTTTGAAAGGAACATTGGCTTTATAGAGAAAAGTTATTTTCAAGAACTGTCTCAATTTCTCATCTCTTCACGAGTGGACTTTCAGTGATATGAATTACTAATAAATGAACTAGAATAATATCAGCATAAAATGAGAAGCATTCTGCAAAGAATAGCATTTGGATAGAGTGCTGTGTTTTCACACATTTAAGTAGTTTAAGGAGATTTCCATGCAGGTATCCAATTAGAATAGTCTTTCTAGATTAGCCCAAGATAGAAATGAAAGTGTCTTGCACATACTCAATCCACGATCCTGTTCATCTTGGTCCCCTTCTCTTTTCTTCCTGCAGTGGCGGCTGAGACGCATAATGATTATATAGACGTGGCTTAAAATGATCATTGGTGGAGGCAAGACTGGCCGGTCATGAAATGTCATAATCAGCTGATAACGCTGGAATTTCCACACTTGGTTGGATATTGACTTTACTTCAAAGAAGGTATTGCTTTAAAAAGAATACATGTTTAGTTAGTTGTATTACTTTTAATTGTGATTTCCCACGGCAATCAGAATTACACTGAATTGAAAATATGCGATGAAATGGCCTTTTGGGGTCATTCCACGAGTTAGTACTGACTCTGAGTGACCTGTCTTTTGGTTTATCTATCAGCGTGGCTTACCAACATTCAAGGACATTTTACTCATATAAATAATTAAGAATTAAGTGTATTGAAATTGCTACCCATTGCTTTCTTGCAAAACCACACCACAGTCTACTGACTGCTCAGGAAATTTTATTTCATATATTTAAAGGTATGAGCCATCCCACTAAGCATTTTGAAGTATTTAAACTAGCTGACTACATTTTTTTGGAACCGAGTTGATTAATTACCGAACATTTTGATCGAAGGTGGGTTATTTTGGATGTTGGGTAGGTACAGTCTTTGTCTTCTTTGAGTTTCCAGTGGGAGGCAGTAAGCCTAGAATTGTTGGAATCCTGATCAAGCGTGTTGTCTACACGGGGACCTTAGAAAAGTCAGTTAACCTCTGTCAACCTTCATTTTCTCATCTGTCAAGTCTGGAGTGTAACCAGATTCTCTCCAATGCCCTGGTCAGCTCTGAGAGTCTGTATTTCTGTGAAGGATTTTTTCCTTATATTTTTCATCTTAGAAACTAAAATAAATTTTTCCAACATTTATTAAGCATGGTCACATCCTCAACATATCATGCCAAAAGGGGCAAGTTTTACAAGAAATTTGATTGTGGATTTTAAGCCTTTTCTTTCTTAGGCCATTTTATCTTCTATTCGGTAAGTGATAAGAAAAATATTTCATATAATAGTACAGTAATTGTCACAGCCTATGAAATTAACTTTGCTTTCTGTGCCTCTGATAATGAATTCAAGGCTCAGTTTGATAAATCTTCTCTGTCTCAGGAGACTTTCATCTAAGAAAATATTTTCATTAGATTAAAATACATGCCAAGGGGCTTCCCTGGTGGCGCAGTGGTTGAGAGTCCGCCTGCCGATGCAGGGGATGTGGGTTCGTGCCCCGGTCCAGGAGGATCCCACATGCCGCAGAGCGGCTGGACCCATGAGCCATGGCCGCTGAGCCTGTGTGTCCGGAGCCTGTGCTCCGCAACAGGAGAGGCCACAACAGTGAGAGGCCCGTGTACCGCAAAAAAACAGAAAAACAAAAAAAACAAAATCATCCCAAAAGTGTTAAAATACTAACCAAGATTGAATTTAAATGTATTTAAGTGTCAACTCTTGATTTAGGAATACATGAAGGCTGATTACAGTTGAACAAAAAAACGTTGTGAAAAATTCTACACATTTGAAAGCCCTAGTGGAATTCCATGTAAATCCTGGGCAGCCTGGGAGATTTCTGAGATTACACTGAAAATCTGTAAAATAATAAATAACAAATATACGGTTGTCAGTGGTGACACGCACTTGAAAACGGCGATGAGCAAGTTCACGAGCAGGATGTTGGCCACCAGCAGGTAGCAAGCCATGATGGCGGGCGTGAGCCAGGCGCCCGGGATGCAGGGAGGGAGCCGCTTGCCCTCCTCATCGTACTGGTTGTCACCACAAGGAGCTGAAACGAGAGTCTGTTTTTTTGTGCTTGACTTTTACATAGAATGAAAAGAATAAATAAACTGACCTATGCTATTAAAGGGCCTATTTCTTTTTTACTATGGTTTTTTTCTGATTTCATAAGCAATAATTTTCCATGTGAAAAATATCAATTCATACAAAGGAGATAAGGAACTCATTTCTGCACTCATAGATAGTCATTCTTAACTTGTTATATTTGTAAACATTTTCTCATTTCTGTGTTGTGTTTGTCATGTACAGAAGTTCTTCATTTCTAAGCAGACGCATCTATCTATGCGTCTATGGTTTCTTTACTGTTATCCATTAGAAAGTGATTGGGTCTTCTAATTATTTAACATTAACTTATGTTGTCTTCTTGGTCATTTGTACATTAACTTTGAAAATAATTTTATTGTGAGGTAGGAGGTACGGATCCCCTCTAGCCTCCAATCCATTAATTGACTGTTCTGAGTGATGTTTGAAAAAGAATCTTTTCTCTCTCTGCTCATTTGAAATGCCACTTTGATCATATGGGACTTGTTTTCTGAAGAAAAAGATAGGATGATCACAACAGTAATTAGTGAAGTAATATCCATGAATTTATAGTCTATTTACTTTTCACTTCCTTATCGTTTAAAAAAGTACTGACACCAGAAAACAGGAGAAATATTTGAAACTGGTATAAGACTATTGGTAATTAGCTGAGGAAGAAACTAATTAATACACACATTTCATGGACTAGAGTCATCAATTATGCATAAACTTACGATTAATTTCCATGGCGTAGACTATAGAGTGATTGGAAAGCAGCATTTTATTTTTTTTAGTTTTGACAGGAAGGAAGAAAAAAAATAAGACAGTTGAGAGAAAAGTCAAACAAATGATGAACAACACAAGAACTGTTTTGCTGCCAAGAAATGTAAAGTGTTCAAGCTTGGGAATTACAGATTCACACTTGGAAACAGTGATCTACTTAGGAGAATTTTACACATTATTAATTCTAGGAAATATATGTATATATATTTCATGAATATTTATTTTACCACGTCATAAGCAATAGTAAAACTCACTAGTGAAAAAAACTGTGAAAAAGACATGAGGCTACTAACAGATGATCACTTTAACATGTAGGTTGACCAATCAAGCATTCCCTGTATCCCAACACAAACACATCATAAGCACAAATAAATCCAAAATTATTATGAAATAATCAGACCAAGAATTGAAAACCTACATTTCAGGGTGTTACTGAAAATAGCCTCAAGTTTGTCTCTCCATCTTCTCTTGTTACCCAATTTAATAAAAGAAAATAAAAATATTACAACTTACATCTGGATCCAGGGACTTTTAGCATTTATGTATGTTTACTGAAGCTAATATTCCTTTGAAACCAAATTAGATTTTTACATTCTGGTTTACCAAGCTACAAACACATTTGCTAACTGACTCTGAGATACTCATGATAAGGATGTGTTCTGAATCACGTGATGAAAGCCAGTAGGTAGAGGGCATTGTGCAACTGGTTATCAGTCTCACTAAGTGGAGATATACCGAACAACCCTGCATTTCCTACAAGGCAAGGATGTTCAGAAACTTCTATTCTCAAGAAGGTTCTGCTTCTACTGGAAGTAGCAGCCATGCTATTGTACCTGGTGCTTTTTGACAGAGCACAACATGCAAATTAAAATATTGGTGCTAACATGAAAATAGGTCTGAAGATGCTCATTCATTGGTGATGCCGTAACTGTCTGGGTGAAATAGCATAAGAGCATTTGAACTTCACTTCCCTACAACACAAGAGACACTGTGACCTACCAGCTCAGCCTGGGCAGAGCTGGGGCCTGCAGTCCCCAGAAATCCATGCAGGATTGCAGCTCATTTCCTCTGCTAACATCCAAAAATATCACTCCAGGAGTGAAGAGGAAATGGATAGCTATGTGGAAAATGGGTTCTGAAGCTTGAAGAAGAGGATGATGACACACGGCAATAGTCACTATCTCATTTGACTGAAATAACACTACCAGCTCTATCTCAGGGCAGAAAGATTCAGGTTGAAGAAAAATTAGGATGTTGGCATTGGGACTACATTCATGTGTAGGACATGCTCAAGGGATGTAGACTCAGAATTCCAGTTAGTGGTTCTCAGAGTAGAAGACAGGACCGATGTCTCAAAACTCTGTATTTCATAATCTGCACTGATTTCTTCATAAAATAATTTGATGCCTATGGCAGAATAAAAAACACTTTGTTCCCAAATTAACACAGGCTCTTCCATTAATTTGGAACTGATCATCTGCCTTGGGAAGCAGGGAAGAGAATCTTACTATGAATTCTATTCTTACGGTCTATCTGGTCTGCAAACACCTCTCCGTAGATCATCCAGTAGGGCATGTAGAAGATGTTTCGGGCCAGCTTCCAAGAAGGCTCCTCATCTGGATGCAGAATGGCTTGACGGGCTACCCCGAAACTCATCAACACCACCAGCATGATGACCACAAAATACAGCATGTCAATCATCTGAGGAGAGAGGAAATGGGCCTCTTACTGTCTTGACTCATGGGCCAAGTTCACGTGGTTCATTACATTGTGCTCCTCAAAGACTTTATGAGTGCTTAATTAGGATGGAGGAAGCTTCTTTCCCCTCCCTCCATCCCATCCATGGGCTACTGATTCTTGTACTTCATGCAATGCATACACCTTATTCTAGAACATTGCCGTTCTCATCTCATGCTCTCAATCTTTCCTCTCCTCTATTGTTACCCATAAATAAGTTCCTCTAGTAACTACAACTGCAAATGGAGAAAGGGAACAATTATGGGAAAATATAGGAATTTGTGAGGGAAACTAAGGAGTAAGAGCAGTAGATATCTAAGGAGGAAATGAGATCATGAGTTGAGAGAACATACTGATATTCATTCGTTATACAAACAGTGAGTAGTTACAGTGTGCAATGCTCTGGTTACTATGGATACTGACCTTATATAATTCTTAATTTTGAACATCCCTGAAGATGAGGGCCCTGGCTGGGATTAGCTCAACTATATATCCCTTTGCTCAAAACCACTTGCCCTACAAAGAGTTATTCCTAAGCTTGGAAGACTTCCTTTCTTCTGGGACCAGTCCCAACACTTGGGCTATTTTAAGTGATGTAAGGATGATCTGCTGGTTCATTTTTAGTTTCATATTTTATGGCCTGTTCTGGAGTAAATGTTGCCATGGATTTGTCTTGACCTCATCACACGAATTGCCTGTGTGCACTCCATGCCAGAGCACATGAGCTGGAAGACTGTCTGGAGTAGGGGTAGGGGAGGGTGACCCCGGGCCCCCTTTGTCTCTGGCTTCTACTGCACGTTAGGAGGTTATGTATCGGGTTATTGTCAGAAATACATGTACCTACAGTAGGCCCTCAACCTCATGTTCATCAATTGGATTTAATTAAATTGTCAGTACATAGAAGAACTATGTATCTTAAAGCAAAGAACATTTCCTGTAGGAAACCAACTGCAAGGGAAAGATCAAATGAAATGCTGGAGGCCTGGCCTCAGGTCCTAACCACAGTCTCGGTGTCTGTAGTTACTCACGGGGTGTCAGGACTAACCATCTTTCCGATCATCATCACGTAGGGTCCCAGATACTTGTTGACACCAAAGATGTCCAGGACACGGATGTACCAGAGGATGATATCCACGCAGTAGATTACACGGCCATAGCCCATGTAGGGCTGCTTCTGTAGGCGGAGGATGGCTCCAATCATGAACATGGAAATGGCCACGAGGTCTGTGATGTTCCAATATTCCTGAAGCCAAACTTTTATTTTCTGGCTGAGCTTACCGGGTTCTGACATGAGAATCTGTAAAGAAATGCCAGAGAACAAAAAACAAGGGAGTGTGGTATTGGAAGACTTGTCCCCTTAGAATCTTGGGACATTAGGACTGGAGCAGCATTCCAGGGCATCTGGTCCCCTTTCCTGCTCAAGACTTCTAAGTACTAATCTTCTCAGGCAGAAAAACATATCTAGAAAGGGAAATTCCACAAAATCCTCTGTATGCCTAGAGTCAGGGTTTCACAAACTCTCAGGAAATGCCTTCTAAATTATGTCCCTCTGGCTGTAATTAAAGTAGCTGCCTTTTGATCCCTTTTCTAATTCTCTGGACACTTGCCTGTGAGCCCACGTTCCAGAGTTAGTCCAGGAGGAAAACTCTAGAGCAGAGATAAACCTGTGTGGTCCCACAGAGGGGCAGTCCACCCAGGGGAGATGGCAGAACTGGGATGGTAAATGTTTATCAGCCAAAATTCCTTTGTAACTCAGAGATGGGAAGTCAGGGGAAAGCTGAACTTGATTTTCTCCTGCTTGAGAGCTTACCCTTTCAAAATCACCACTGATTAAAGGGACACTTCCTCAGAGTAAACCTGAAAATATTTAACAAGCAGCAGGCACGGGCACACTTAGAGCAAGCCCCACGTATGCAGCTATGGGCGTGCAGCAGGGTGGGGGGTCTTAAAAGTGGTACCCCTTTACTTACCGAGACTCTGGGGAGGGTCTGGGGACTCCAGAGGTGGGACGGGGTGGTGGCTATTTATGGGTCAACCCAGAAGGCGTTCACTAGTTTAACAACCTGTGCACTCTGACTGATGGCCGCCTACCCTCTTTCCTATAACTGGGGGTAAAGAACAGTGTCAGCATATGGCTGATGCTCAGTGAGCTCACGGTGTCCCTAGAGATGGCACGGCAGGCCACCTGGGAGATCCCAGTTGTAAAGTGGGCAAAGTTTGAATGAAGCTCAGCCAGAAAAGAAACAGGAGTAGTAGGAGATGGGTTATAACATTTTAGATTTGGTGCTCTGCGTTTCTCGGGCTGTCATCAGACTGACAGCCTCGAATTAGCTCTCCTGGGAAGAAGTGGCCAGTGATAATTTTTCAGTTCAGTGAAAGGGTCACTGCTGATTGCAAAATAAGAATATTGGTTCTCTATCAGTGGGAGAAAGAATATGAAATTCTGCTGTGTGCTTTCTCAAGTTCACTTATTCTAGGCTATAAGCTTTCCCTTTATAAGCTGATATAAAGAATTAAAACTTGCAGATGATAGTAGAAGGAAAAGGACCCGGCCCATATTTCCTCTGCTGCCTGCAGGAGCTGCCCTCTTGAAGTTACATGTTAGTTTCAAGTCTCCTGTGACAAGAGTCTGCAAGAGATGGTGTCTGTCCTTTTTCAACACTTCTTTGAAAATCTTGTTCCCTCTGTTTGCAGCAGTTGCGCTGGCAGCCTGCCCAGAGGCACTGGAGGCTTCCACCAGGTGGGTGCGCCCAGCCCCCATCTGCTGCAGGTGCCGCTGTTTGGCTCCCACCTGCCCCCTTGGGCAATTGCAGCCACTTTCCCAGAGATGCTGATGGCTGGCTGATGTGGGTACAAAAGTCTGTTCCCTTTGGTCAAAGTGGGACAGACTCTACAGTATTAAATACACTCAGAGTTCCCTGCAGGATTAGGCCAGGGACAGATTCCACTGAAGCCACACCTTGCTCAGCCCTGTCCCCTCTTCTAACCTGGTCACCCTGTTGCCTCTCTCTGCTCTCCTGGGAGCTCTCCTTTAATAAACCCCTTGCACAAGAATCCCCTTCTGGGTTGGAGGGAGGACAGTGTAGTTCAAAGTCCTGAGTTACAGGAGAAATGTCATCTCCTACATCTCCCTTTCTACTTCCAGCTCCGAGAAAACGGAGCCCAAATTTGTACCCAGTTGGAGTCATTGGTTTATCTCAGGTACCTGGCAGCATTTATGCTGCTTTTCTAGGCTCTCAGACTTATTTTTATTACTAAACACCATCTATTCTGCCTTGTGTTTTGATTTCCAAGTTCAAATTCAGTTGGAAGCAGAAGGTGTATGAGTCTCAAGCAAGGGAACGGAATCAACTTGGGATTGTGACACCTCGAAGAAAAGTTCCACGGCACTTGGGATTTGCACGATACGTTTTTAAAATAAGGAGCTACATCTGGGGACATCCCTGGTGGTCCAGTGGCTAAGACTCTGTGCTTCCACTGCAGGGGGGCATGGGTCCGATCCCTGGTTGGGGAACTAAGATCCTACATGCCCCACAGCCAAAAAAAAAAAAAAAAAAATTGAACTGAAGTCAGTGGTGGATGGGGCTGGGACAGGCCTTTGGAACATCACCTCCCGAATTTTCTCCAGGGCCAGGCTCACGATGTAGGAGATGACGATCCACTCCTGGAGGCAGGGCCAGCGCTCCATCCGCACCAGGATGACGTAGTTGAACAGCAGTAGGTAACCCAGGTAAGATATCTGAAAGGCAGAAACTGTGAGCAGTGTCTGGGGAGGTCACATGTGCCTGAAAAAAGTTTTGAAACCCTATTTACAAGTGGACACATCTTCTAAGACAAATTTTCATTTCCAGATGCACCGAATCCTTTAGAGGAAAACTTCCACTCACATCACCGGTGCAGGCAGAGGACTTTGAGGCAGATGGGGAGGCATTTTGTACTTTAGTGCAATATCGGCACTGACAGTCCATTCTCTAAATGAAGATGTATCTGTTGCTACTATCAGCCTCAAGGGGAAATTATAAAGTTGCACGAAATTATGATGAGTCGGGAAACTTTTAGTAGTTGACTGGTGTGCCCTCTACATTCCTGGAAACTGGAAAATGTTACTGACTCTTCCCTGCCTTGCAAATTTCCTTCTTGAACCTTTCCACTGCTGATGGATGTGGGAGGTTCGAAGGGAGGAGGCTGACAATGAGGTGTCTTCCCAGGTACACACACCGGTCTTGAGGCCCCTCAGTCAGCCCTGATATGTCTGTGATGTGCTGTGCCCACAGCAGGGTGCCTATCCTTGTGGCATGTAGAGTTGGGAGGGATATGGGAGTGAGCTATGAGGTGGAGGGAGGTTGTCTGAAGATGACCGAGGTTGATTCGCTCTGAAGCTGTACGCACCACGGGTACAGGCCCCTTCTGAAGTCTTGGGGAGGTGGGGGGAGGGTGTATACTAGCAACTATATTTGTGATTCTCAGCCTTTTTTTTTTTTTAAAGATGCCCCCCTCCTGATTGTTTAAGTTTTACCAGGATACAGGTAGCATCCCATGTATCCACTATCTAGTCTTTGCAGGAGGATTGGAGCAAGAGTCCTCAAAGTGGGGCTGCGCTGGGAACCCCTGGCAAGCTATAAAATGTGCGACCCCCTCCCCACATCCAGAGGCAGCATTTAGAGGCCCTGGGGAGAGGCCCTGGGGAGAGGCCCAAGGCTCATCAGCCCCCTGGCCCTGCCCTCTTCATACGCATCTGTGGAGGCCAGGTATCTTCCTGGTCCTCAGCTGGTTCTGACCAGAACAGGTGGGCAGCTGTGGCTTTGGTGGTATTGCCAGATGTGGCTGCCAAAAGGTTGGGTGTCGAGGCTATAGTTGGCCTGGGTCCCCATGCAGCCCTCTGGGTGCCATGCCCCAGAGCTCTGCCTCTGCCTTCTTCCCTCCTCACCCATCACCCTGTCCATGGCTTTGGACCTGGCCCCTCACGTCCCATCACCTGCTCGCACCCAGTCACTAATGAGACTGCAGTGCCAGGACGTGCCAGGCGTGTGCTGCTGCTTGGCATTTGGGACTTCATGAGTATTGTCCCTCCCCCGGACCGCAGTGGTTGCAGGAACCACAGCATGCCTGCCACCCCTGCTGGGACGGCCTGCACCTGAGCCAGTTTCCTCCAAAGCCTTCCAAGCTGCTCCAGTCTCCTCACCCCACTTTTCCTGCCCACCCACGTGCATAAGGCTGTACCACTCTTGTTCTGGGTGCACCGCTCTGCTGGAGCCGTCCAGACAGAGGCCGCTGATGGGGCCGGAGAAGAGTGTGAGGTCATGAGGGCAGTGTGGCCTGCACTTGAGAGCAGAGATGCCTTGATCTGCTCCTCTATTCCAGGACTTCATGCTCTGGGTTCAACCCTACTCTTTGAGTAACCCCGTCAGTCTCCTGAAAAATGACATCTGTGAGCTTGCTCTCTAAATACTAGTCATCTTTGTTCATTGTTGGAATAAAACTCTACTTTCCTAAGTTTGTATTACTAAAGACATTTGAAAAATCCTTCATCTTGAGCAAATAGAATATGACTATTTTGCTTTATGAAATGGTGTATTTGGGGCTAGGATGGCCACATTCCTATGTATAAGTATATGACAAGATATCTATCTAGATCCAATTTTAGTTGAAGATTCTGAGTTAGTCCCATTTCTGTTTTCATAATTAATTTTAATCCATTGATTTTTTTAAAAAAACACTTTTTTTAAGCCCTTGACAATTTCCTTGATTCTGACATGTCTAAAACATGCTAAATGGTGAAGGCTAAGGGCGGGGAACTTACCGTGTAAAACCAGAACTTGACAATAGGAGCATTGTAGAATTCACAGATCTTGGTCCCAATGGGAACACTTCTTTGCTTTTTTTGTTCATTCTCCTCATCCCCCTTTCTCGAGCCAGTGTCTGCATTCGCATCCTGGAAACAGAGCACAGCACGTGGCAAGCAGGCTGCCAGATGGGAAACGCCTTGGACTCCAGCACCATATTTAACAGACAGGTGCCTCAAAAATCAAGGATATAAAAGACGCAGACATAGAGAATGGACTTGAGGACACGGAGAGGGGGAAGGGTAAGCTGAGACGAAGCGAGAGAGTGGCATGGACGTATATACACTACCAAACGTAAAATAGCTAGCTAGTGGGAAGCAGCCGCACGGCACAGGGAGATCAGCTCGGTGCTTTGTGACCACCTAGCGGGGTGGGATGGGGGGGTGGGAGGGAGACGCAAGAGGAAGGAGATGTGGGGATATATGTATACGTATAGCTGATGCACTTTGTTTTACAGCAGAAACTAACACACCATTGTGAAGCAATTATACTCCAATACAGATGTTTAAAAAAAAAATCAAGGATTATAAAAATGTCCCCAGTTCTTGCAGTTTCTAAATTCACGGCGACAGAAATCACAACTGTTTTGAAAATGAGAGTTGATGGATACTTTCAGAGTCAAGGGCATCACTGACCATAGTCTCCTCCTCTTTTTCTTTGCCATCTTCATTTTCCTTGGATGTTTGATAGGAGAAGTCATCACAGGTGCGAAATTCCAAAAACAAGATGGTCGGGGGGAGAAGAATCCCCATGATAACCTAGGTATGATGAGAAAAGTGGATTTTTTAAGCTATGGTAATTCTTGAAAATTTTCCCAGTATAGGCAAAACATTTTAAATTATGATCTTCAGCATTAATCAGTAATCTAGCAGCCCTGGAACAGGTCTATCTCTGCTCTGACCGTCTGTGGCTTATTCTGTTTGGTATGTTGATGGAATTGCAGACACTGAGAAATTTAAGATCATACACCAAATTTTTCTAGGTGAACAGCAAGCAGTATTGTGTGGAATCCTGACTTAAAAAGCGAAGATCTTGCATAGTGTTTCAAAGCAGGCAATTTTTTAAAGTAAAATAGAGTAAGTAAAAATAAATAAATAAATAAAATGATACCTCTGGTGAAGAAGACCAAAAATATTTTATATACGAATAACTTAGATGTAAATGCGAATATATGGACCAAGAGTTGGAAGACAAACGTGACTCATGAATACAGGACTTACTTGGGCTCAGCCTAGACAGCAGAAGGATGGCCTAGCTCATAGATGGAAACCCTTGTCGTTTTTGTCAGTGCCATGCCATGTGTCTCCAATACTGAACTCTGTCCCCAGTGTTCGATGCTAATTTTTTAGAGTTTCCCCTCAGCAATCCATTATTAAGAATAACACAAAAGGGGGACTTCCCTGGCGGTCCAGTGGTTAAGACTTCGCCTTCCAATGCAGGGGGTGTGGGTTTGATCTCTGGTTGGGGAGCTAAGATCCCACATGCCTCAAGGCCAAGAAACCAAAACATAAAAGAGAAGCAATATTGTACCAAATTCAATAAAGACTTTAAAAATGATCCACATCAAAAAAAAATCTTAAAAAAAAAAAGTAACACAAAAGGGTTATTTCTACCATATACTAAAAATTATATTATAAAGCACCAATAATTAAAACAAAGTGGTACAGGTGCACGAAGAGACCAAACAATAGAGCAGAACAGAAGGTCCAGAAAAAGATTCAACTACACATAGGCAATTAATTTGTGATACAAACACCACCTCCAATGGGAGGAGTAAAGATGACTATTTCATAAACTGTATTGAGAAACTGGGTGATCATCTAGAAAATAATTAGGTTGGATTCATATCTCACACATACACCAGAATAAATTGCATCTAGCTCAAATACTTTGTGAAAGAAAAAAAAGGGAGGGGACACAGAGAGAAGATAAAACAACTAACAATCACCACATGAAAATTCTTTCACAAATGGAGAGTAGGAGAAGGCCTTTCTAATTAGGCTACCAAATCAAGAAGCAATCAAAATAAAGATCAATATCTTTGATACTGAAAAAAAATCACAAACATCTGCACAATGAAAACATGCCTTAACCAAAGTAAAAAATAACTTCTGGGAAAACATATTTGCAGCTCATGTGACAGGCAAAGGGCTCAATCTTTCTAATTAGAAAGGATCTTCTAGAAGTCAAGAAGAAAAATTCTAACAACCCAGCAGAAAAATGGGCAAAGGCAGTGAACTTAGGGACATTTGTACTGAGAGGAAAATGGGCTTGTCCTCACTCATAATAAGAGACATTCAAAGAAACTACACAGAGATCTCATTTTTACCATTAGATTGGAATGTTTGCTCACACACTGTACTGGTGGAATGGTGGGAAAACAAGACATCCCCTACACTATAGGTGGACACCTCCACAGAGGGACAGCTATCAAGATTGCAAGTGCACATCCCCACAGGGCCACCAATTCCCCTTCTGGACATTTATACAGCAGATAAGTGAGATACAGTATGTGTCCAAGAGCACTCATGGTGGCAGTGAGTGTAGCACCCCCAGGCAGGAGTGTCCTCCATGGCCTCACTGGGGACTGGTCATAAACTGTGGCCATCGACCACGAAGGAGAACTGGGGAAGCGGGTAAGAATGAAGGAATATTCTGTGTCCCAGAGGAAGTGAAAAAAGAAGGTACAAAACAATAACGATGCCAACCCTTGTGAAAAGGAAAAAAAAAAAAAGAATATTTACTTCATCATGAAAAAAAGGAAAAAAAGAATATTTATTCATAGTAGCTTTTTATATATGGAAATATACACAAGAAACAAATATCAGTGGTTGCAATGGGTAGAACAAGCCATATGGGGGACAGGAGTTGGGAAGGAGACTTGTCACTTATACTTTAAAATAGTTTTAATTTTTTAATATGTGCATGTCCTTATGACCTATTCAAAGAATTAAATTAAAAAAAGAACAAACCATCCCTGCTTTGAAATAATTATATATTTATGCTGTGAATTAAAAATGCTTGGAAGGGGGCTTTCCTGGTGGCGCAGTGGTTGAGAGTCCACCTGCCGATGCAGGGGACACGGGTTCGTGCCCCGGTCCAGGAAGATCCCACGTGCCTCGGAGCGGCTGGGCCCGTGAGCCATGGCCGCTGAGCCTGCGCGTCCGGAGCCTGTGCTCTGCAACGGTAGAGGCCACAACAGTGAGAGGCCCGTGTACCACACACACACACAAAAATGCTTGGAAGGAAATCTGATGCTTACAAATATTTATACCTTTGGGTAGACATTATATCTAAAAGTAGCATTAGGTAAAGAAGGAAATGATAGAAAAATACCCACTGGATTTCAAAGACTTAGTACAAAAAAAGCATATCTCATTAGTGATTTTTTTCCTTTCAAAGACATGTTGAAATGATAATATTTTGTATATACTGGTTTAAATAAATATATTATTAAAATTAATTTCAACTGCTTCCTTTTTACTTTTTACAATGTACTTAAAAAACTTTTTGTGACTATTAAAAATTTTACTTTCTTAACTAGAAAATTTAAAGTGACATATGTGGCTTGCATTTTACGTCTGTTGGACAGCACTGCTGTAGACTCTATAGTTTCATCTTGCTCTTTAAAATTCTGGCATGTTTAAAAATTGCTTTTTAAGATATATGTTTCCTGGTTGTTTATGGGTTGAAGAGCTAGAACATTTGGACCTGCAGACTTCATCATGGAGTGGATTTGGGGATGCTCCTCTGTCCTTGTTTTCTCCTGCCACTTGGCAGCTGGATGCAGAGGCTGGACCAGACCCAGGCTGTTTTGTAAATTTTATTGAAGTAGGGTTGATTTACAATGTCGTGTTTAATGTCTGCTGCACAGCAAAGTGACTCAGTTATATATATTCTTTTTCATATTCTTTTCCATTATGGTTTATCACAGGATATTGAATATAATTCCCTGTGCTATACAGTAGGGCCTTGTTGTTTATCCATCCTATATATACTAGTTTGCATCTGCTAATCCCAAACTCCCAATCCTCTCCCCCACCCCTCCTCCCCCTTGGCAACCACAAGTCTGTCCTCTATGTCTGTGAGTCTGTTTCTGCTTTGTAGATAAGTTCAGTATGAAGGTTACTAAAAATAGAGTTGCCATATGATGTAGCAATCCCACTCCTGGGCATATATCCAGACAAAACTATAATTCAAAAAGATGCATGCATCCCAATGTTCATAGAAGCACTGTTTACAACAGCCAAGACATGAAAACAACCTAAATGTCCATCGACAGATGACTAGATGAAGAAGACGTGGTACATATATACAATGGACTACTACTCAGCCATAAAAAAGAATGAAATAGTGCCATTTGCAGCAACCTGGATGGACCTAGAGATTATCATACTAAGCAAAGTAAGTCAGACAGAGAAAGACAAATACAATATGATATCAGTTACACGTGGAATCTAAAATACAACACAAATGAACATATCTGTGAAACAAAAACAGACCCAGGTTTGAGCCCTATGGCAAAATGTAGAGGGCATGTTCTTTCATTAAAAAGTATACTGTTTCTCTTGGGCTTCCCTGGTGGCACAGTGGTTGAGTCCGCCTGCCGATGCAGGGGACGTGGGTTCATGCCCTGGTCCAGGAAGATCCCACATGCCGTGGAGCAGCTAGGCCCGTGAGCCACGGCCGCCGGGCCCGCGCGTTCGAAGCCTGTGCTCCGCAGCGGGAGAGCCACAACAGTGAGAGGCCCGCATACCACAAAAAAAAAAAAAAAAAAAAAAAAAAGTATACCGTTTCTCTTTTGGTGATGTTAGCAGCAGTTGATGTCAATTCATTAACTCACTGGGGTTGAAAATTGGTGCTGTTCTAATGCTATCATTTGGTTTCCATTTCTTGGCTGGAGTAATTTTACTAAGAGATGTTTCCCTCATCTACTCAGTGGTTATCCAGTGGTTCAGTTCATATAGAAAATGCAGGATAAATGCTTGATTCTTTCCCCTTTATGTACCTGTTTTCAAGATAATGAATTGATTTCCTATCAGCTACTGAAGGTAACTAATTTTTCTTTTTTTAACTATTTCGTATTCCCACCAGCAGTGTAGAAGAGTTATAGTTGTTCCACATGCTTGCCAACACTTGGTATGGTCAGTCTTTTAATTTTAGCTTTTCTAATGGGTGTGTAGTGCTATCTCATTGTGGGGTTTTTTTATTATAAAGTATTCAATTTAGTGAAACTAAAAAAATAAAAACCAGTTCACCCATTTCTCCCACCCCATCCTCACCCCTGCTTCTGTCAACAGCCAATCTGTTCACTGTGTCTATGAACTTGCTTTTTGGTTTCTTTAGTTTTCACATGTAAAAGAGATCATAATGTATTTGTCTTTCTCTGTCTGACTTATTTCACTTAGCACAATGCCCTCGAGGTCCATCCACATCGCAAATGGCAAGATTTCATTCTTTTTTATGGCTGAATAATATTCCATTTTATATATGTATATATATATAGAAGTATAAAATATACATTGTGTATATCTAATAATATTCCATTGTGTGTATATATATCCTTGCATACATATATATGTACACACACACACACACACACACACACATATATATATATATATATATCACAATTTTTTATCCATTCATCCATCAATGCACACTTAAGTTGTTTCCATGTCTTGGCCATTGTAAATAATGCTGCAATGAACCTAGGGTGCAGATATCTTTTCAAGTTAGTGTTGTTTTCTTTGGATAA